TACGAGTACGCCCGGGAGTTCTGCAAGCTCGCTGCGGTGACGGTGTTAGAGGTTAATCAGCTTAATCAGCTGTTCTGGCTCGGGGCCAACTACCATCGCCCCGTGGACCTCCCAGACACCACTTGGAGGGAAGTTAATGTGGCAAGCCCGCCGGATGTTAATGTGGCAAGCCCGTCAGACGTTAATGTGGCAAGCCCGCCAGACGTTAATGTGGCAAGCCCGCCGGATGTTAATGTGGCAAGCCCGTCAGACGTTAATGTGGCAAGCCCGCCAGACGTTAATGTGGCAAGCCCGCCGGATGTTAATGTGGCAAGCCCGTCAGACGTTAATGTGGCAAGCCCGCCAGACGTTAATATGGCAAGCCCATTGAACATTAATCCAGCATACGCAGCATACGTTCATGAGGCCCCAGTGTCGGTTCCAGCCCCAGTGCCTGCTCCTCGTAAGCAGCGCCCCCCGTCGGCTCCAGCCCCAGAGCTCGCTCCAGTGTCGGCTCCAGCCCCAGAGCTCGCTCCAGTGTCGGCTCCAGCCCCAGAGCTCGCTCCAGTGTCGGCTCCAGCCCCAGAGCTCGCTCCAGTGTTGGCTCCAGTCCCAAAACTCACTCCAGTGCCAGCACCACGTAAGCGCTACCCTGATCCCGAGTATAGCCCAGGAAGGGCTCCTGTTCCCGAGTATAGCCCATGGAGGGCTCCTGATCCCCAGTTAAGCCCAGGAAGGGCTCCTGATCCGCAGTTCAGCCCTCCATTAACTTGCTTACTTTGTATTTCTTAAGTCTTTCCCCAGCAGACTAATTTTCTCCAGAATAGTACTAAAACAAGAGAAAATGGATACACTTATGAAAAATATAAAGACAGGTTTGCAGTTTTAACATTAGAAAATATGACACAGCAGGACATGCATACAAAATACTGAAGTGCTAAAATTTGGTTAAAACATTTGTAGACATATCTTGAATGACAGCACTACAAAAACATAACAAAGGGAAAGACTATTGCCTTATATAGTGGTTGTCTTATTGATTGTGGGCTTTGTGTAAAAAAAAAACCTGGCTTTTAACACTTTCGCTAGGTATTTGAGTAAATAAAAACACAATACTTAGATTTCAACGTGAATTCCTCCACAGAACTCTCACCCGCGGTCTTCTTTGAATATAAACACCGTCGTTATCTGCGCGCAAGTGATTCTGGGATATGGTAGGGTGCGAAGTGTCCATCAGATGCACACTTCATTTTCCTGGGAAACGGAGGGCACATTTGACGTCGCTTTCGAAATACGTCAGCTTTTGTCGTGCAGCGGTGACGCAATCGGCCTTGGAATGCGGTTTTTGGAGGGTGCATCCTGAATTGGGACAGCTTACGTCATGACGCTGTGACGCAATCGCACTTCAAATGCGCACTCCGGAGTCCACACACTTCAGTTTGGGACACAGCTAGAGTCCAAGGTGGTGACGATGGAGGGAGGAACCAGGGAGGAGACCAGAGGGACTTGGAGCAGGAGAAGCCAGGCGGGACCCAGGCCACAGCCATAACGGTGACCTACGGTGGAGCCGACGGAGGGAGGAGCCATGGTGGGGGGACCAATGGCGGCGGAGCAGGTGGAGGAGGAGCCCGAGGCGGAGACGGAGAGCCGATGAGCCAGGGTGACGAGGAGGATCCGGAGGGCCAAGGTGGAACTGATGGCTCCGGCAACCGATGCGGAGGCGGGGATCCGGAAGGCTGCAGTGGAGCCGGAGCGACAGAGGACCGAGGAGCAGCCGGAGGGATGGAGGAACGAGGCGCAGCCGGAGAAGTGGGGTCCCGAGGCGACGGATGGTAGATGACAGACCAAGGCGGAGCCTGCGGGATGAGGGAGCCCGGTGGAGCTAGTGGACTGCCAGGCCACAGCGGAGAGGAGGGAGCTAGGAGCCATGGTGGAGCCGCTGGGTCAACGGGCCGAGGCGGAGTCCTGGACTCTGAGGCTGGAGGCGGAGGCCAGGGATCCTCCAGCCATGATGCCGATGGAGACTGGCAGACCCACGGTGATCCCACCGCGCTGAGGGTGAGCAGAGGGGCTGCCAGATGACAGCGGAGGAGGAGGTAGGAGTGGGCATGTGGGCGGGCATTTGTGTGCCTCCGGGCTCTCTGGGCTTAGCTTGGGAACAGAGTCTCTCTCAGGGCTTGACTTGGGAACAGGAGTGACAGAGGGCTCTGACAAAGGAGGGAGGAGAGGGGGCAGGTCGGTCCACAAGTCTATAAGGTCTCCCTCTGCTTTCCATTCACCCAGATCCATAAATAGCTCACCCTCAGCCATGGTGCAGTGGGCGGAGCTCCTCTCCGCGATCTCACTGGGGAGCAAAAACACACAGACAGTCCAGGGGCGTGACATCTGCAGCATTTATTAATGTTAATTTCAACATTTACTAATGCATTATTAAAATCAAAAGTTGTGCTTGTTAACATTAGTTAATGCACTGTGAACAAACAAACTACCAATGAACGACTGTATTTTCATTAACTAACATTAACAAAGATTAATAAATACTGTAATAAATGTATTGTTCATTGTATGCTCATGTTAGTTAACACATTAGCTAACATTAATTCAATCTTATTGTATAGTGTTACCATATAAATGTATAGGCCTACAGATAGGCTATGTTTATTTGCGTTCATTGCATGTGTCATTATATTATTAACATTTCACCAAAATCAAGTTCAAATACGAAGTTGACCAACGAATGTTTTTTTCCCATCATTACCGCCACAGTACATGCATCGCATTTAGGATTTCATGAACTTGCAGGTTATACAGTTTTCTGTCACTATGAGGGCGCTCTGTTTTTTCTGTTATTTGGCCAAAATATCATATTATAAAACCTTCAGCGCTTCGGACAAGCTATTTGGCTGTGATTTGACAACAAATGCTAGACTAAGACACTCTTCTCCACTCCTAAAATACAAAAAACATTAGCCTTTACAAAATATAGTGTTTCTTCAGTAAAGAAAACGCTGTAATTATTCAATCAACAGTTCTTTATTTACCTTCAGACTGCAAACAAGCTGAGATGCTTCAAACTGCACGCCACACTTCATTCACGAGAGAGGCAGGAGGAATAATGAGGGTTGACTGACAGTTTGAACCAGCCGGCTGAAGACTGAGAAAACAGATTTATCAGTGTGATCATGAAGAAACTGTAAATCTGGACAGTTTTCAGTCCTGCAGTACAATTGTAGTAATTAGGATGCAGAATTACTTCAGTTTCCTGCTTCTCTGTAACTTGTGTTCTTTGAGTGTTTGTCTGAGACTGAAATCTAGTAGACATTTAATTATCAGGGTTCCCAATTTCTAGTCTAGGAGAATCACTTTTCCAAGTCAAGTTCTTTGCATTTACTTTAATAACAGTCAGGTGTGTTGAAACTAAACTCAGCAGGAATGAAAAACCTGCTTTACAGACTCGCAGACACACCTGTTTTACACACGGCACTCGAACACAGAACCAGGAAACAGGAATCACGTGACTTCAGGGAAAGAGAAACTGAAGTGTGGTTGAGCTGTTGTGTGTTTGTGTCTCTCTGTTCATGCTGTAAAATGGCAGGAGCCAGAGTTTTTCAGGATGAGTTCATGTGTTCAGTGTGTCTGGATCTCCTGAAGGATCCAGTGACCATCCAGTGTGGACACAGTTACTGTAAGAGCTGTATTACAGACTGCTGGGATCAGGAGGATCAGATGAGAGTCTACAGCTGCCCTCAGTGCAGACAGACCTTCAGTCCAAGACCTGCTTTAGCTAGAAACACCATGCTGGCTGAAGTGGTGGAGAAACTGAAGAACAGGAAACGTCCTTCTGACTGTGACGCTGGAGATGTGCAGTGTGACGTCTGTACTGGAAGAAAACACAAAGCCGTCAAGTCCTGTCTGGTGTGTCTGGAGTCTTTCTGTCAAACTCATTTTGAGCGTCATGAGGAGTTTCGCTCAGGAAAACGACACAAAATGACTGAAGCCACGGGACGACTGCAGGAGATGATCTGCCAGAAACATGAGAAGCTCCTTGAGGTTTTCTGTCGCACTGACCAGAAGTGTATATGCATGCTGTGTACGATGGATGAACATAAACCATGACACTGTATCAGCTGCAGCACAGAGGACAGAGAAGCAAGTATTTAACACTAGACATTGATGAAATATTGCTGACACTTCTTTCATATGTGTTTATTTCGGCACCATATTAACAGTTTACAGCATTCACACTGCACACGACAGCAGAAATGAACAGCAGCTGCAAGAAGAGTTTCACTGTTTGCTGAAAATACACTGTAAACCTTTATCAACACAAACTTTCATGAAATAGCCTTTGATTAAGCAACATAGAATAATGGAGTGAACTATTGACCCGTTCTTTGAAAAAATATACACTTCTGTCAGTCAAAATACAAGCTCTGCTACACAGCAGAAACACTGTAAGTGTGAAGCTCTACATCTCTTTTATGATTCTTGCATTCAATCACTTGATCTTTATGATAATTCATTTATGATGATTATAACAGATAGCCATTGGTTATCAGTTCCATTTTTACTGGATTCATCTGTTCACATGATGATTTAGTGCCAGTAGTTTTCTGTGAGATTCACTATCATCTGTTTGTCCTGCAGAAGCAGCTGAAGGAGACGCAGAAGACGTTCCAGCAGAGAATCCAGCAGAGAGAGAAAGATCTTCAGCAGCTGAGAGAGGCTGTGGAGTCTCATAAGGTGAGTCTGGAGAAGAAGAGAAGTTTGTCTCCGTCTCAGTTCAGACTCACTGAAGCCTGAATCACTGTGTGTCCTAACAGCGCTCTGCACAGACAGCAGTGGAGGACAGTGAGAGGATCTTTACTGAGCTCATCCGCTCCATTGAGAGAAGCCGCTCTGAGCTGATACGGCTGATCAGAGATCCGGAGAAGACTGCAGTGAGTCGAGCTGAAGGACGACTGGAGCGACTGGAGCAGGAGATCAATGATCTGAGGAGGAGAGACGCTGAGCTGGAGCAGCTTTCACACACACAGGATCACATCCAGTTCCTGCAGGTAACAGAGATCTAGAAGAACAGGATCATAGTGGACTTGAGCAGATCCTGCTGTGACAGAGACTCACAGAGAAACAGTTCATGAGTGTCTTATTATATAATCATCAGTCAGACTCTCATCTGATCATCTTCTTCTGAAAGAGACGCCGCTTACAAATGGCTTTCAGCTCTGGAAATCTCTTTGAAATCATTTCTCTCAGTTCTTTCTTCTGGAAGATATATTTAGTTGTCAAACACCACTAGCGCCACCAACAGTTCAAAACTTCACTACCATTTCAGCTTTTTACTTCATGTTTCCTTCTGATTTATTACATTATGGTGAAATCAGTGAACTCGATAGCACAGATTCGGAGTAACATTCATCACAATTGGATCAGGTGATCTTCAAACTTGATAAAAACTGATTTTTATTGGCCTGTAACACATTGATGAATTTGACCATGAAGATCCCAAACATGAAGTGAGCCTGTATTTCAGAAAAGCTTCAGTGTATTGAAACCAAACCAAACCTGAGCGTGCCTTAAGGGTCCTTCTGAAGTTTAATTGTCTCTAAAGTTATAAATAATGCTCAATCTAATTGTAGGTGTAACAGAGTTCGTAGTTTGCCCCTCGCAGGCCGGGGGGTACTCACGGGACTGCGCTCTACTCCCCCCCTCCCCCCTCCGGGGGAGCCGATCACAGCGGCCGCGGCGTACCTGGGGGTAAGGACAGACAGACAAGGCGAGAGAAAAGGAGACGGAAGGATGAGGAGAGGCAGAGACGAGAGAGGGAAAAAAAAAATCTTGTTCCTGTTCCCAGACACACTGTTGCTCGGCCCTCCACCAGCTGGGTAAACTCTTCCGCGATGCCAGGCGGCGGCACTGGACAGCCCTCAGTGGACGGCCGACACTCCCATCATGGCGGATGGCAGCAGGCTCCGGCATCAGGCGAACGGCGGCGACTCCTCCGCTCCCTCACGGACGGCAGCCGTCCCTCCACATCCCAGGCGGCCGGCAGCGAGTTCGTCCGCCCCACCCCGGCAACTCACTCCAGCCCACAGCCTCGAGCCTCC